ACATTTCACCAGAGATAAAGTGGTGTAGCATCTGAAAGTTTCTTATTTGTCCAACAGTCAAAAGGCCAGAGATATTCAGAGATTAGATAATTTAAAAAAAGAGAAGTTAAACAAATCCTGGAATCAAGCAGATTATTTTTATCTTCTGATTATTGTGTGGTTTTATTATTTTAGTCTGTGAAACCATCACAGTTAATCCTGAGATGACGTCAAACTATCTTTGTTTGTCTGACCAACACATAAACAGGATTAGTTAAATACAATTAAAAGAAACTGAGAAATATTTTAATGTTTTAAGTTTGAGGTAGAGAGAAATCTGTGACCTAATGATCGATTGATTGATAGAAATAAGCAACAACCAATATAACATCATTGTTTTTGCTGAAATGCATCCATCCATACTTCCTTGTGTGTGTGTCCTTGTGAACAAACATACATACAAACTTTTTGTAACCACAGATAAGGAGCTGGTTTCTCGCTTAGTGATAAATGGCCGTTGCAATTCTTCATTCTCAAGTGTTGGTGCAGTTGTGCATACGATTTATTGTGCAGCACTTTGCTGGAGTTTTTACAATCAGATGTCAAATGTCAATTTAAATTCGTAAATACAAGGATCCTCCAGTTTGACTCTTTTCTGCTGCTGTAATTCCACGATGCTCTATATTTCTTCCAGGGAAAGTTATTTCAGAGCAAACAGAAAAGGCCCCTTTGACCCCAGTCAGCTGTCAGTGAAGCTAAAAGATGATAAGGCCGAGGAGGTTGTGTCACCGCTGGTAAAAACATTCTTTTTTAAACCACGTTGTTATTCCAGCTGAGCAATTTTGGAACGGGATCATGTTGAAGGTTAAGCGGGGTCGTCTTCATTCCTCGTCACATGTCCTGTAAATTTGTTATATGTGCAGGTGGGAGCTCATTGCACAGGTCAGAGTCAGTGGACTGTCTCACATCTGCTCCCAGAACGTGTCTGTAAATGGTTAACTCTCCCTCCCTCTCTCTGCCTCCTCTGGTTCTTGAATCAATTCTTCACTGAGCTCCACCTTATGTAAAACAAACAGTGACTATGCATTTACACAGCCCGCAATATTCCAACTGTTCACCATATTCAGACATTATTTCCATCATGATGTTTGCATGAGTTGTTCACACTGTAGTTACTGTAAATTACATATTGCATCATGCACTACACCCTGAGTGGAGGCATGAGATTGCTTTTTCCGAGAACGACCTTATTCAGGATGTCGTTATCAGCAAATGCTATTTACATGTCTTGAGTAATACTGGTTTCTAGGTAAACGTGACTGTTGTCAAAATTATTGACTGACATTGATTAAGTCTTTGTTTTAAAAAGCCAGAATTTCCTCAGAGGAATTCCTCAGATCTCGTCTTTGAATCGAAAGCTGGGTCAGTCGTTCCCTGTTGAGAAGAAACGCTCCTCATTTGCAAACAGACATTTGAGAAATGAATCTGACCAAAGTAAACAGTAACCAGCACCTGCAGTGTTGACGGTCAGGACCTTCGTCAAACAGAGGTTATGAAATCCCTTCTGGAAATCGATAAACTGGGCAGATCTGGGGTCAGGGTGCTCTCACCGTGTTCCTGCAGACTTGAGCAATGCTTGATATAGTAGCTGAGCTCTGGACAGTGTGTTTACACAGTAATTCACAGTTAACCCCCTTAAAGCCTGAACCAGGGAGCAGGACAGACTGATAGATCCATGCACAATGGCCCTTTATGGAAAACTGAGTAGCTCACTGTACTAATGTCTCTCACTTTCTGGTTTTACTCCCTTCTCAAACTTTTTTCTCCCTCCTACGTCTTCCTTCAGCAAAAAAAAAAAGAACTAGGGTCCTTTTCTCCCGCTGTCTCTCTTATCCAACTTTATTATTCTCTATCTTGCTCACTCGCTCTAAGTTGCACTCGTAATCTCTCCCTTTCCGTCTCACACTTTTGGTCATATGACCAGCACACAGGCTGGCTGACTGCAGGGTGAGAGGTGAGGGAACTCGAGGATGAACAACTTTCATTGTGCAACACTGCAAAGCTGCAGTCCTGCTGAGCAAAGCAGCAACTTCACTCAGGACATTGCAGAAAAAAAAGGGTGAAAACTGTGTCTGAGAAATTCTGGTGTGACAGAAACATGAATCATGCAGCTTAACTACAGGTGCTGGGAATATTTCTGCACTTTGGCAGGATCTTTGTCGCACTCATGCTAAAAAAGGCATCGGCTGCTATTGACATTGAGGTTTTCATATAAGGTAGCTGTGGCTAAGTGGCAGCATAGCAGACGTTTCCTCTCGCTCTAAGACTCAAGAGCTGTTTTGTTCTATATCAAGCTGCAGCGGAAAGTGACGCTCTGTGGAATGCAGAGATTTCACGTTGCTCTGACTTCTCTGCTTTGGGCAAAGAGACATTTCACCACCATGTATTTAAGAATTGAATTGCAAATGTTTGACAAATATAAAGCAGTGCAATCATAGAGTCAATGGAAACGAGAGTTTAAGGTAAAAGTCTATCAGTGAGAGGAACGTGGTCACAAATAGTTAACGGAAACATTCTGTATTTTCTTTTACAACATGCACGAGTGCAGAGTTTCTGTTTGTATCTGTACTGCTGACTTTATTAATAATTAATAAATAAAGAACTAAATTGTGTGAAGCACAGTTCAGTTATAGATATAGTTTGGTTTCCCTTTTGTTTTTCAGTGAAGCCTGACGTATACATGACAGGATAGTACATTTAAATTACATTTGACAAAGTGTCTCCATTGCAAAGTTTGTCCACAGAAGAGCACTGAAGGTCACAATTCTGAAGTAGGTGACAAGAAATGTCCGCACACCAGTTGATGCTCCAACAAACGATTACTATAATAATACAAAATAAATATCTCTGAGGTTATGGTTCAGCCCTGCGCCTAAAATGTTGGAGGTATTTACAAAGTTGGTGGAACCATCAACTGATGTGTGGATATTTCTTGCCGTCATCAAGTTTGGATGTGTGTGTACTTTCACAATTCTTTAATAAAAGCATTTAAGGAATCCTTCTTGTTAATCTTTTTTTTACTTTGGGAAAGACTTAGCTTAGCTTTGCACGAGGACAATTTAGAATCAGATGGCCTGGTTCTGTGCACAGTATTCACCACAGCCTCAAGCCAAGATATGTCTCCGTAAAAACCATAAATAGTTCGTACAGCATGAGGAACTATGTTTTTTCAGGCGACACATGGGTAAAGATGCACAGGAGTCATTCATAGCTTCACACCACACATTGAGATTTGGAAGGTGTCTGCATGAGCTCCTCTGAAACCCGAAGTTGCCAGTAACGCTCTTCCCTACGTAGATTTGCGGAGGAGTTTACCTTTGGTGAAAGCACAATTCCAGCTGCAGCATTGGTCTTGATCTAAAAACTCTTGGCATGAAAGCACAGACGGATTTTTCCCAAAACATAGAGCAAATATCTGATACTGTCCCGTGTTGTACATTTTTTTTTAAACCCTCAAATTTATTGGTACCGGCCTTAGAAGTCCAGACAGAGTCAGACTCATCATCATTGACATTTACCTCCAATCTGATTTAACTGCAGGGCTCATTTTTATTAGAGACATTACACCCACACTTACAGTCTAGTTCATTGCTCTCCTATTATGTCAGAGGAAGATAGAAATAATAATGATAATTATGAGTCTCCTGTGATGCGTCTGTGCTGACGACAGCCACAGTGTTCTCAGGTTGTCCGTCCGTCCCACTCTTATTAATACGATGTTTTGGGAACGCCTTCAGGGAATTTCCATTTTAACCATAACTTATTAGACACAAACAAATAACCAAATCTTTTTTGGGTTCTTAAATATTTGTATTTTGTAAATATATATACTGTTGACAAGTTAAAGGTCAAGCTCACTGTGACCTCACAAAACATGATTTTGGCCACAACACAAGAATTCACTCATATGACAAAATGTCTAAAAGTGATGACATTTTATATCCAAGAGGTCAAATGTGTTCTGCTATTTGCAGAATCTCTGTCGCTCCTCTGTGACTCACACACCGAGTGTTAATGTTCACAGTCCACAGTCAAACTGTTGAGGGGACGAATCAGCACTTTCAGGCCCCGGTGATCTCACATTGATAAAATTATTCTGGTTGAGCTGCAACAATTTGTCAATTAATGGACGACTAAATCAACCGTCAGCAGATTCTTTATAATACTTTTTAAAATAAAAGTGCCAGATGATTTCTTGTTTACTTTTTTATTGTCTTTTATAATATAAAAATATAAAAAGTAGACAATGTGTATGGATGTTCGGCCTTGATAGAGGTATGTTTTCTACTAAATGTCATTGTAGTTATTAATTATTAAAATAAGAAAATGAGTAACCCGATAAAAGCAGAGACTTTCCCTTCAGGGTGAAATCTGTGGCATGAAGCAGTTAAACAGAAAAACGTTTCTGTTTAAAGATAAAAGGAAGTGAAACTCTCGAGTGTGTGATTTACACCTCGGCACAAACACAAGGGAAATTTTCATTCCATTAGCTTCTTCTCACACCAGCAACAATCTCATCTTTATTTTCTCTGTTTATTTTCTTTGTCTTTGCAGGATAAGCATTGAACAGACGGAGTCCCTGCCAGGATACATGTGACTGTGCCGACCTCTTCTCCTTCTCCTGTGGAAACACACTGCAGAGGACTCTCCAGAAGTCACGATGGACTTTCCAAAACCCTGAAAATGTGGGCAAGCAGAAATCTAATGATCATGGTTTGACTTTTGAGAACTGTGCGATCCCGACACCAACGCTGTCCGTCATGTTGGAGCCAGGCTCTGTGGATGAGGGAGCATCGTGTGGTTCACCGTCAGCCTTCAAGTTGGTTCATCCACCATATTGGTGCAGAGAAACATATGAACTCAACGTATTTAATGCAGCGACTGGATTTTCCCGTGGACTGCTCGTTGCCTGCCGGCTGATGCTGGGATCGCCAATGCATAAAACCATTACTCTGTTTGGACACCACATTTCTTGGGAAATGTCTAAGCACTGAATAGAAAACCTAAAGGATTTACTGTGTTAGAACTCTGACCCAAATGGGATAAAAACTAGAAACTGTGAAAGACTTTAAGAAAAGGTAATAACTCAGATAAATTTGGAGTACCCTTAGTCATCTTTCCCATGATGCATTGCCCCATAAGGAAGAAACGGCCCACGCGTGACTCTGACTTCTCAGCCATCGTCGTGCCCTCGATGTACGGGTCTGGTTACCTTGACTACACGGTCGAGACCCACGCTTCCAGGTCCATGAAGGTCATGGATGAGTTCAGGCAGCAGGAGATGTTGTGTGACCTGGTGCTTCACGTCACGTACAAGGACAAAACTGTGGACTTCAAGGTAGACCCACAAAACACACACATCTTTTTCAATGTAGGAGCACGGTACGCAGGCCTGAACTCAAATTAATTATAATAATAAAGAATATGGTGGTGTTACAGTTTATACAGACATTTATATGTAGATGCAATATGGAATAAGATGAGATTGGAAAATTTGATAAATGGGGATGTGCACAATTAGCTCAATTATTAAATATTGCTTCTCTCGCTGCTCGGCACCAGAACTATTGGTCAGTTAAACAACTTATTATTGTTTTTAAAAAAATGCAATGTACACACATTTCCTTCACACATCCAACAAACCTCAGTATCTTCACATCTGATCAACCTTAATAGAGGAGGTTTAAATACATAATAAACTATATTATAAACTATATTACATAATTTATAGTTTCTCTCTATGATCCTCCCTCGACAGAAACTTCAACAACAGCAGCGTCCGTTACACTCTGTCCTACCTGATGTTATTGTTTCCCCCAGGCTGAGAAACAAAGCCAACTAATTACTAACACGTTATCGATGTATTATGTAATGCAGCTGCTCACCACTGGGGCTGCAGCTCCCCTCTCGCTGCTGTACAAAAGACATCTCAAAACAACCAGCAGGGTTTGGCAGTATTTTCATATAGAAACTGACAATCCTGTTGCATGTCGGCTGTAAAAGATTAAACTGACTCATAACCACGCCACTGGAATGATGCATTACCACATTCAGCACAGGTTTGAGGGCGTTAACCTGCAATTAAAGACGGCTGCTGCTGGTGCGAGCACTACTAAGTTCAATTCCTCATTTAACTTATTTCCATCACAATATTTCTCTTGATATATTCGATTCTATTTTTGACTTGATAACATTGGGACTGTTTCGGGACTCCGGGCGTTTTTTCATTCACTTGTCGACCCAAATAAAGCAAATGCATAGTATATACAGTGAAAAAAAATATTATCTGTTTCAGGTGCACAGGTTGGTGCTGGCCTCATGTAGCCCCTACTTCAGAGCCATGTTCACCAGCTGCTTCAAAGAGCGTCATGCCTCGGAGATCACCTTGCGTGATGTCTGCCCCCAGGTGGTGGGAAGGCTCATTGACTTTGCCTACACCGCCCACATCACAGTGGGAGAGAAATGTGTGTTGCATGTTCTGTTGGCTGCGATGAGGTAAACATGCATAAACAGTAGCACATTGTGTTGGGAAGATAATGTTGAATCATTGAAAACAGCTGAAACCAGAAAACACTCACAGACAAACTCTGATTTCTGTATTCTGCTTCTTTGTGAATGTTTCAGAATTGACCAGTGAAATGATTATTTTAATAAAATAAGTAAATTATACAGGCAATAATGATTTTTCTGTCCCTGCTTGTCTTTTTTTCTAGGTACCAAATCGAGGACGTGGCCAAGGCGTGCTGCGATTTCCTCATCAAGCATCTGGAGCCGGCTAATGTCATCGGCATCGCTCGCTTTGCGGAGGAGATCGGCTGCACGGAGCTGCACCAAAGAAGTCGAGAGTACATCAACACACACTTCAACGAGGTGAAATGCAAATATAAAAAAAGCAGAAGTACGCACACTCATTGTGACTCAACAATATCGCTGTCGTGTTGTTCCCGACTGACACTGCACACCCACCTTCACCTGCGGCCTGCACCCAGCTGTCAATCACATGGTATCCATGACCCAAGACATCCGGTGCTTTATCGTCTATGTAACTCTGATTGGGAACATCATTTGCAAAATGAACATCATGAAGTATTGAAGAAGACTTGAAACTACAGACTGAGATCGTAAATACTTCAGGAAAGTGTTTATTATGTTAGAAATCAAGTGAGAAGTACCTTCTGTCTCATAGCCAGTGGAGTCGCCCTCTGCTGGTCATATGAGAGAGTACAGGTTGCAGGCACAAAGAGCACATGCAACAATTCAGCTTTACGTCTTCAAGAATAAAACATTTCTCAAAAGTAAAGCTGTTCATTCTCCCTGTGATCCACCTTGTCCTGCACGAGATGATACATATTTTTGTCAGTGTGTATTGTCACGTTATTTCCCATTCTCACATGCCAGCTATTCTCCAGTATCTTTGAGCTGGTGTGACTCAGTCTTGGTTACTTCCAGCTTCTCTTTTAGTTAAGTGACTTTTCCAGAGCTTTAAATGAACATTTCCTGTCACCAGTCTTCTCTCCACTGACCTCAGCTTGGAGCAGCTTTGTAGCAAGAATCTGTACAGTAAGTATCTCTGTGTGGAGCTCGGCCAATCGAGAGTCAGTCTCAGCTGCCAGTCATGATGTTTCACCTACTGCACCGTCATTCACATGAATCACTACAAACACAAAAACAGAAAAAGGACTGAAACATGTATCTGACTTCTCTCTGTTGTGTCTCTGTGTTCCAGGTGACTAAAGTCGACGAGTTCTTCAGCCTGTCTCACTGTCAGCTGCTGGAGCTCATCAGTCAGGACAGTCTCAAGGTTCTCTGTGAGTCTGAGGTGAGTGGCATTAAAACAACAGGCTTGTATCTTATGTTTAGTCATTGCATTGTTTGCAGGATTCAAACACACCATGAACAGTGTTTTGTAAGAGAACTCAACTGTCTCTTGGTGTGACCAACAGCTAAACCTTTTATTGAGGTCTATTTAAATTATCGCAGTCCCTGAAAAATACCAGAACTTTCAGAAATGCATGTTTATGTTATTTTGTTTGTGAACTCGTCCACGTCAGGTGTATAAGGCCTGTACAGACTGGGTCGGCTGGGATATGGAGGGCAGAGCTCAGTACCTACACGCCCTCCTGAATGCTGTTCACATCTACGCCCTGCCGCCAAAGTTCCTGAAGAACCAGCTCCTGTCCTGCCCCATCCTCAGTAAGGTAAACCACAGCCTTGCTGTATAGTTACTATCAGCGGAAATGCAAGGGCAGAAAAGATTTGTAAAATAATATTTAATATTTAAATAATATAGTATAAGATTATTTCTATTATTTCTCACAAACCATGCATCTTCTGGTTAAACACTAGTAAAGATTGCTATGTTTTAAGTACTTCTGTATTAACATTTGTTTTATTGAACTATTCTCAGTAAACTCATTTTCTATATGAATATCAAGAAGGACACAGAACAAACCAGCTTTTCCCAATTGTTAAAACAATATTGTATTATAAACAATAATCAATAACTAATAGAGGTTTTTATCTTCTCTCTTATATTTTAACTCCAGGCCAACTCCTGTAAGGACCTGCTCTCTAAAATCTTCCAGGATATGACACTGAGGAAGCTGCCGCCGGCTCCGAACCGTGGAACTCAACTCATCTATGTGGCTGGCGGGTACTTAATTTGTTTCTTCATCAATATCTCTAGTTCACAAAACCTCTGTAGGTTATATTAAATATGATGGGACCCTTATCTCATACTTACAGATACAAGCCACCTCATGGTGTCTCAGTCTGCCACCTAGTGGCTATCAGCATGTTAGCCCTATATGTACAGAGCTATTGTGCTTGTTGACCTGTTGTCACTCTTCTAATTTGTTTCCAGTTTTGTTTATATCCTACATGAATATAACGACACTTTAAACACAAACCATCCTCCTCAAACTCATTGTTGTCTGTTAGAAAAGTTTTTGAACCAATGTGGAAAGTTTAAAACCAAATGATTATACAGATATACTGTATTACTAAGAGGATTTTCTACAGATCACTGGGGATGTGTCTCTTCCGCTAATTTAAGATGTTTGATTGTGATTTAGTCTTTGTTCTTGGACCAACCAAAATTATTCATCATTACCTTCTATACTTTGGTATAATTCTGTTTCAAGTGCCCAAATAATATTTTGAAGTGTAATAAGACAGATAAATGGATTCATGACATTAACCACTATGTAATATAAAATGTAAAACATGTATTGAAGTCATTGTTCTTTTCTTCCAAACTATGATAAAAACATAAAATACTTTTAGGAGATGATGCTGTTTGAGTTCACTGGACATTCATCTGATGAACTACCCGCTCTGTTTTTCTTCTTCTCTGGTCAGATACCAGCAGCATTCATTGGCGTCCATGGAGGCTTATGATCCCAGGGCAAACGTGTGGCTCAGACTGGCTGACATGGGAACGCCGTGCAGCGGCCTGGGAGCCTGCGCGCTGTTCGGACTCCTCTACACTGTAGGTTTTTCTCAAAGCAAAGTTACAAGGCAACAGTCAATACTACAACACATTTGTATGGAAGTATCAGAAGAATTGTGCCAAGACTGTTTCGCTTGGGTCGGTACGAACTCACTGATCTGTTAATCAGGAGAATTGTAAATCTACTCATTATCATCAACAGCATCAGCATCTGATGTTTGTTTACAGAAGTCTGAGTGAACCACATCATAAATGTCAATCCCTCGTTTCATGTGTCCAGGTTGGTGGCAGAAACCTGTCGCTTCAGAACAACACCGAGTCCAGCGCCCTGTGCTGCTACAACCCAATGACCAACCAGTGGAGCCAGCGCGCCTCCCTCAACATCCCCAGGAACAGGGTCGGCGTGGGGGTGGTGGACGGCTGCATCTACGCCGTTGGAGGTTCCCAGGGCTCGACGCATCACAACACAGTGGAGAGGTTAGATGCTCTACAGAGTTCACTCTGCGTGTGTGTGATGATTTATTTAATTTAACAAGGCACTCGAGAAGTAATTTGGTTTTAATGACATCTTATTTACCAGGGTGAACGTAATGAACACGGATATCCTCCCCTGTGCGCACACACACGTTGTCAGATTAAGCGCAGTCACCTCGGTGTAAGTATGGATAATGGCATGAGAGCGATGGGCTGAATAGCTGCCATTCAAGCTGAAGAGCAGCGGAGAAGTTCTCAGGTATCTCTCTCAGTCTAATTAGACGACAACGCAGCCTCTTTGAAAAACATGTCGAGACACACTTTCCCAGGAATGTCGATCTGCTCGAGAATGCTTTACATTTCATCGTTTCCACCACCAAAGCAGGGAGGAGTCCTGATGCTGTTATAAATCAGTTTTAATCACTTATTAAGAACAAACTGTCAGGTCTGAGAACGACTCAGTGTTTTTCTCTTTGATACTATTATCTTTATTTTCCATTTCTAAAGAGCTGCACTACAAATGTAACCGTTTTGTTTTGAGGGGTATAGATTTTAAAAAGATCAGAGTCACAAAAAGAATTATTAGAAGTCATCAGACGCCACTTAAAAGGTGCCGCCAAACGCAATGAAAGCCGATAAAGCTGCCGAAATGAAAATTCAATGTGAAGCACGTCAAAGAGAGATTAGAGTATTTATAGCAACAGTTTTCGGGACAAAAGGCTCGGCTCTCGACGTGAACGTGAGCAACATGCAGGAGATTCAACAGGGAGTTACACCGTCGGTTCCATAAAGCACCTTGTTGCAGATGCATGTGCAATAACTTCAGGGTTCAGAGCGCAGGGTCATTGTCGGCACAGTGACCCGAGAAATGACTTGAATTTAGTGTTTCTTTCTCAAGGGCACTCCACCGGTGATGAAATATCAGAGCACCCTGGTGTCTGCAGTTTACAGCCGGTCTATAACCCAACGACTGAGCCAATAACCTTTTAATCATCAACCAGCAGGAGAATATGCATCATGACTGAGCTGTTTGCCATTGTTGTTATACCCAGTGTTATTTTTCTCTACTGAGATTCTGCTGTTAAAGGAAGAGTGCGACATTTTGGGGAATTTAGTTATTTGCTTTTATGCCGTGAGTTAGATGAGACTCTCGTGTCTGTTCACGGAAGGAGACATATTTAGCTTTTTCAGTTTTTTTTTTTTTTCATCTAGTGTGTTTGTGCATGTCAAGTTTCTGCAAATTTAAAAAGTCTGTGGTGAAGGCAGCTCCTCTTCCCGACAGAAACACTGCTCCTGAAATGCAGTAGTCCGACCAATACTTCTGCACCATTGTGATGTTATTTGCATAATGCACGCCTAGCGGCTAGTCTGGCACGCCCCCTAACAAAGCCAGACGAGAGCCTGTTAGTACATATATAACTGTAGCAGTGGTGAAGCTAGCCTCCTGTCTACTTCCAATCTGAGCCAGGAGGTCAGGTAGACTAGCTCTGCCCCTTTGAACCCCATGAATACTACATATTATAACTTGCACATATATTACATTTTGATTTGTTCTTTTTTGTTTGTTTTGACAAGACATTCAGCAAAGCATTAACACAGAGTGAGAGTTGATGTCTGCTGATGTCCTGTGGACGTTCTCATCTCCGTCTGCTCATGTTGGTGTTAATTCCTCTTTAGCCTCTAATAAAGCTCGTCAACAGTGGCCAAACATGGCTGCCAGCTTAACCTAATCCACTTAAAGTTGGCTGGCTCACGTAGACTGAGACTGTTGCTGCTCACGGCCGCTCCACCTCTGGATCATTACAAGTTCTGCAGCACAGATTTCAATTCATTAATAGAATTGACTCATTTGAAGTGGACCTGTCAACAGATTACAGCCATGTTGACCCTTACGTCTGCTGTGTGCTTTACAGGTGGGATCCAGAGTCCAACCGCTGGTCGTTCGTGTGCCCGATGTCTGTGGCTCGTCTTGGGGCCGGCGTGGAGGCATGCGGGGGGGCTCTGTACGTGGTGGGGGGGTATGATGGACAGAACCGTTGGGACACTGCTGAAAAGTACCAACCTGAAACTAACACCTGGCAGCAGCTGGCTCCCATGAGCACCATCCGCAGTGGACTGGGTGAGTGTGTTAGTACGTCTGAGATTCGGACAAACACAACAACGACAGAGAATCAGATGATGCCACATGCGTATCTGTATGCTCGATGTAAAGCAACAGCCAGCAGCTAATTAGCTTAGTTTAGTGGAAGTAGTGGAAACAGAGGTAAACCGCTCATAAGTTGAAAGAAGATCTGACGTACCAGCACCTTTAAAAGTCACACATTATATATATAAATACTCCACTTTAGAAAGAGTCCCCCTGCATAACCGCAATTTGTCAATTTTGATTTAAGCACAGATTAAAATACACAAATTCACAAATTAGATTTTACTTGTTAAATATTGAGCTTGGTGCTGGCGTGTAGATCCTGTTACCCTCAGGTGGAGCCAAGTAAGCTCTCTACCCATTTTATGCTACCATGCTCCAGGTTCCAGCTCCATATTTACTGTACAAATACAAGTGTGATACCAATCTTCCCATCCAACATTCTGCATAAAAGCAAATAACACCTCCCAAAGTGTTGAAACCATCTCCTGTGTGTGTGTGTGTGTGTGTGTGTGGGTCTCTGCAGGGTTGGTGTGTGTGAACTCTTACCTGTACGCTATAGGAGGGTACGATGGGAGGAGCCAGCTCTCCTCTGTGGAACGCTACAATATAGCCTGGAATGTCTGGGAGCCCAGGGCGTCCATGCAGTACGGCCGCAGTGCACACGGAGTGGCGGTCTACCACAGACGCATCTTTGTCCTCGGTCAGTTACGTCACTCAGTAGAATGGTAGTAGAGCACATACCTCCGCCAAGGTCCAACAGTCGCCTTAAGTTCAATCAAGTGACACAAAATTGCACAAACTCATAAATGTAAGTTCCCTTAATGTGCCTGATGTTTTTCATAAAGATCCTTGAATTATTCCAAACTTAATCAGTAAAGGTGAAAAAGAGTTTCTTGTCCCATCCCTCCCCCAAATGTTCATGGAAATCTATTTAGCAGTCTTTGCTTAATCCTGCTGAAAAACAACGGGGGGGGGGGCATACTGTGACCTTGGCAGAGTTAAACAAAAATTGAGGCACTGAATGTTTAATTATGTCGTAATTTTTTTCTTTCATTAAATATCAGTAAGAGGAACCTGATTTACTGTCCATCCATTTTGAACACATTATTTTACTTTACTTTATTATGCTCATGATTGTATATGGGATGATTTCATCTTCCTCCCTCATTTTTGTCCAGTGTGTGTTTTAGATGATGCTTGTATTGATTCTGTTTATACGTGTCATCACCAACTAGCACATGGACAGTTTCATGTATAAAGGTCAATTCAACCTTCTCATGAGTCACTCAGGAGCTCTGGGCGAAACATTTTGCTCTTATCTGAGCTAAGAAGAAGTTGGTTATCACTGATATATTTTTATTTTTTGCATTTGTATTTGCGCAGCCACTACCAGTGACACTTATGTTTCAGTCCACACCAGAAATTATGTTATGTCAACAGACTTAATAAAACTTAATAAAAGAAAATACAGATTTGTTAAGAAATGTAATAATTGAGATTCATTAAGACAGTTCAGGAGATCATTGGTTTTATAAATTGTATTCCTTATGTGGCTCAGTGACTGTGTTGTATAATCAAAAAAGGTCTGTTGTTAAAAGTGAACAGACTTATAGAAGAAAGACCAGGAAGTGATAACAAACCACACTAAATTATATCAATAGAAAATGATCTCTCAAAAAAATATCTTTCTATGAAATTAAAAATAATTGCATTTAATAATTCATCAATGCTACTGTTGAACAGTTCCTTAATGGCTTTATCAACAGCTTCATTAAACAGTGTGTGTGTGTGTGTGTGTTTCCATTCAGGAGGTTTTAACCAGCAGGGCTTCCTGTCCAGTGTTGAGTGTTACTGTCCAGAAAGAAATGAATGGACGTGCGTCACCAACATGCCCATTGGACGCAGCGGCATGGGCATCGCCGTTACCATGGAGCCGTGCCCTGGCAGCCTGCCAGAACAAGAGGAGGACGAGGACGGAGCCACATAGGACATAAAAACCTACATTGACTACAGTTTTACAGTTTCCAAGTGGTGCTGCTTTTCAAGAGACGATTAAGTGCACTAAAGAAAAAACTTCCAACATGAAAACATCTTTACCTCCTGTATCTCCGCCCTCATGGGTCCCACTCGTGTTGTACCGTGATGCACAGATGTGGTCTAAATGGAAGCGTTGAGGAAGAGCAATTATAAACAGAAAATATCTCAACATCTGATCAAAACTGACATGACAGTGATCCTGCAGTGATAAGGTGCTACAGATGTAATCCCAAATAATAATGTTATTTATTTAAACATTGTCCCTTCACTGTTTTAAATTTCTTGCGTATTTGATTACATTGTAAATTTGCAAAGTGAACTCCAGTGTCCTAATTTCTAATTCCTCCGTCTGTGTCCAAATGAGGACAGAACTCACACATTTTCTTCTATGTTGTGCCAAAAGTGGGGTTTCCTGTCTAAAACTGCAATTTTTAAACATTTTGTCAAATTTCTTTTTTTTTTAATTTGCCAGATTTAATTTTGTGTTTCCTGGAGTAAAGTTAATCAAAGGTGAATGATAAATATCTTATGTCTGCACCATTTGTTCGGTCTTGTAATTCCACCAAGGATGTAAACACCTGCTTGTTGCTAGTTGTATAAGCGTGGGGAGGATGCTGTATGGGTCTGGGAAGAAGTCACAAAACTCTGGTGCAGGGGTCGGATACAGTGATTGTTTTTTTGACTTTTTCACTGATTTCACAGGAAATATTTTAGGATCTTGATAAAAATAATCACATGTAGGGGACTGATATCAATAAGTGCATGCAATTTTGTGCAGCTTGATTGGAGGAGGTATGTGCTGTGTTGAGTGCCATTTAGTCAAGACAAACGAGTTTTACTGACCTCTTGTGATCCCTGTTATTAGGACACATCCACACAGTGTGTAACAGCACGTGCACGACCACTAGATGGTGGAATAACTCCAAAAGACAGCTGCACGCTGCAACAAATATTTTCTGGGTTTTTTTTGGTTTCCATGTCAAAGATCTCCTATGACAGTGACAGTGTAAAAATAACAAAGCAGGAGAACAAGGGCTCCTACATCTGTTTACATGATGACAAACCAGGACACATTCCCAGAGTTAACCACATATACAACTGTGCACACTGTGATCAGTGATATCCCGTTTGGATAATGAATATTTGTCTGTGGTTTGTGGCTCAGTGAGGATGAATTTGAAGCAGCACGAGCTCACACAGCAACCTTTCTTTTTCTGCAGTCCCTAAGAACGAGCTGCCCGAGTCACTACAGCGTTAGTCATCAACTGCAGACGTCACTTGTGTGTTTACTTATCTTTCTCTCCACTGCTGTTCTCCATCTCCTCCATGGCTCACCTGCAATTATCACAGCAGGCCACCAAAGAAGACGCTTCTGGACAGAGCCATTATTGAAATGCGGCCTTCGGTCTCATCACGTCGACATTTCTGACAGAGAAGAGACGCTGATGAAAGGAGAAGGGATAAAAACAGTTCATGTTTGTTTTATAGAGAAGCAGGTGATCACAGCCACATGTTTGTCTCCCTTTGAATCTATCTCCCTTTTCAAGCTCGTGCAGTGAGCGTGCTTTGTGAACAAGCATTATTGACAAAGCAACCTGTTGGCCGACGAGCAGAGATGGAGACGAGGCAGAGGAGGCGGCTCCTGTTCTGTTCTCGGGGCCCCAGAGAGCGAGAGCGGAGACAGACGAAGGAGAAGAGGGCTCTTACTCACTACTTACAGCCCGACACAAGAGCAAGTGACTCACATGGCAAACGCATGACGCAGGCATCTCACTCACATTTGCACATGGATACACAAATGTGTGTGTGTGTGTGTGTACACAGACACAGTGGTTCTTTATCTGTCACACAAAAAGCATGCATATATATATGTGTGTGTGTGTGTGTGTAGACACTCGTGCAAAACAAAGCTGGCCGTCTCTTATTCACAGGCTGTGGAAACAGATTTGCCTCAATGTGTTCATTGTCTCATGAGAGGAGAGGAATAGAGAAAGAGATGTACCACTGTACAACAGGGAGCTCTACCTTTCACAGAGAATAGGTTTTGGAAAATTAGTACACACACGTGTGGTTATTGTCCATCTTTTGCATAGTTGCTGCACTAATACTGAGCAGTCGCACAACCCCAAGAGGAGCTGTCGGAGGAGAGCAGCCTCTGACAGAGAAGATACAGGGTCTGAGAACATGTATGAGAGATGGAATAGGGACTTCTTTGTGTCCAAAAACTAAATGTAACGGACAAACATTGGCTTGAGACCTGCTGTAGAAGCTCTTCTTCTTTATACGTTCTGTCTTGAAGTTCTGCACACTATCTCTATCTAGCTAGTCATGTTCAAATGTATGAACATAGGGAGGAGATAGAATCTAAGAAAAGAAATGATCTGATCATCGATCATTGCAGAACAGAGGTTGCAACTGTGCAACATGTTAAGATTTGATGTTAAGTTTCCCTTTCGCATATGAAGGAGGAGATTGTCCGGTTCAGACGTCCTCACAACAACAAGAAAATGTCCGTAACATTCAGGTGACGGTTGCCGTTGAGGTAGAACATGTTGGAGGCAGGAAATGATGAATACATTCTGCTGCTTTTTTTGTTTGCAGAACATCGAAGATGGTGGATGGAGATGGAGAAGAATCTACTGACTCAGACGTAATGTTTGTTTTTGCGTTGACAACAGAACTACGAGCATTTGGACGCGTTCGCAAAATCAACAGAAGAGTCCAAAGTGATCCAGGCAAGTATTTGTTTGTATTCTTCCAGTTTTGCGTCTAGTTTTCCAGGAATGTTCCTGCTGTATTCTCACATGGGCTCGTTGGATATTCCTGCACATGTTACAGGGAGCTGGCAGGAAAAGTCTTTCCAAGATGACATCTTCGTTGGCATCTTTCTAAATGTATAGCATCTCTTTTTCGTCCCGTTCTTTTTGTTTTATGTAGTTTTGCTTCCGTGGCTCACTGTACATGTCCCTGCTGCATCAGACACTTTCCAGACATTTTGCTGGGGAGATGCCAGGAAAATGGTTCAGAAGGTTCAGATGGTTCAGAAGTTTGCATTCTCATGTACAACCTCTCCAGAACATTTTCAGAAAATGTCTGGACTTCAGTGCATGTCTGTGTATGTTGTGATGTGGAGCCATTAAGTCTTTCTCAAGTCCGTTCACAGGTTGAAGGAACCTTGAAGGGGTCGGAGCAGTAGCCTGAGTATTACGATGAGGCTTATCCTGTTGGATGTGGCTTATTCAGCCTTATTTAGATCTACACGCAGGCGGGAGGCAGAACTGAGCCTCTATAGTATCTGAAGAGGTGGGGGGGCTTTAATTCTAGTGGGCCTACAGCTAGATGTGTGTAGGTGTGACCTTGGGAAGTGATGACCTCATCAACATCCCTGCCTGCAAAGCTAATCTGTTACGTTCTGAAGGATGCTCCTACGACGGAGCCACCCATGAAGGTGACATTGGCGAGTGGGCCAGTGGCGTGGAAATACACCCCTCATCCAGGAGGCGAGTGCAAACACATTGAAATGAGGAGGGCGTGTGCACGGCGACGTATGTGACTACTGTACACGCATGCAAATACTGTACCCACATCAGTCACCAGACATGGACACGAGGATGCATGAACACTGTCACGTCACCTCGAGAAGGTGTTGCAGCAGGATGGTGGTTAAAAGGTCAAACTGTTCTTTCTTATCTGACCCCAGATGGAGCAGGATTTCAACTCTGTGGCCCAGCACTTTTAAAAAACCTTGATTGTTCCAGGAAATGTTAGACGCATGAACTTCCTCATTCATATACAGTAGTTTGTCACATATGGGAATAGTTCAAGAGCTTTAGAACTATTTGATCTTGACTGATACTAACATGTATGACAGTGTCGGCCGATAGCTCTGTGTCCGTGCCTCTTTTGTGTCAACACTTGTCCTTGAGCAAGGCACGTCCATCTCATGCAGGAGTTGGGGCTGCTCGTGGGGGGGAGAATAGAAGACAGACTGGTTGGTGAGGCTGTTCTAAACGCTTGTGGGGGAACTGAGTGGGAAGCTGAGCATATGTGCACATACACCGAGCCAACGTACGTAACTGTTTGAGACTCCAGGACACAGTTCTGTGAGTGGCTCTGGCTTTTTTTTTTCTCTTCTTCATCTAAATCTCTCTCACTGCTCATGCTTCTTTATTTATTTGTTTGTGTTGTTATGCAGAATTTTATGACGAATGAACCTCAGACATAAGTTTCAGGAGAATATGGGGAAGGGGAACGTGCACATCCCAAACTGCTGTCGCTCATCCGATCCTGATCATCACATGAGAGAGTCTGAAGGTTGAAGTGACACATGCATTCACAACATCTGCAGCAGGAGGAGGAACAGTCTCAACAACACCATTTAACTAGATATATTTGATTTGGGAATTTCACATTTGGGGATATTTATTGAAATGCAATGAAATTTAGAATACAATTTTCAAAATGACTCAAACTCAAGGGGTTTTCAGTGTGTGTGTCTCTGTAATGACCTTATACCTTTGATAATTTTGCAGATTTTGCAGGTTTCATTTGGATTTTTTTTTCTCTGCTCCTTCATCAAGAGGGCACACATCTCTGAGCTGTGTGCATTGTTGTAATTATAGTGAGGCTGCTGTTGTGTTGCGTTGTGTGATGGGAGCCTGCCTGTTGTGAGCATGTAGTGCAGCCCGACTGGTCTGTGTGTTCACTTCGACTGTGTTTCTCTCAGACTCGGAGGAAAGCATGAGTGGACGGTTTCAAGCTCCCCTCTCGCTGAATTGATTCTACTATGGGTCCTGCAGAAACACGACGCTCAAACACAGGGGAGGACGACTTAAAAACACCCATCACTCCTTCCTTTCCCGCACCTTTCCACCGCGCACGTGCAACAAATCCACTCTTACATCTTCATTGCGCGTTTTGTAATTCCACCCAAATGCACCACTTCGCCCGAAACCCCTTGCTTCCCCGAGAATGCACGTTCCCAGCTCCCCCTCTGTACCCAAAGGTGGTATATTCCACAATTTATTCCAGGGAAAGACTGACAGTTTTTTGGGTCATGAAGCAGCTGTTCAAGTCAGTGGCTCACCCTCCCTCCGCAAGAATAAGGAATTAGTACATTTCAAATTAGATAACGACAAACGTTGGTGCAAGAAGAAGGAAAAAAGTGTGACAATGCGTCCGCTGCGCAAAATAAACCGTTTCAACATGTGCAAAAAAATATTTTTTTTTATTTACTGGTAAATAAAAATATTTTATTTTCCAACACATTAACAGGAACAATGTTTGTGTGTTGTTTATATATTTTGTTCTGCTGTTGTGTAAGTGCAGTGGAGTGAATAAGTGGAGCAAGTTCCATTTTTTTTAAATTTATTTTTTTGTGATGAAGGATGAGGACAGATATCTCACGCAAACACACAGACACACTTGTCCCTCTATAGTTGTGAGGACGCTCTTTGACATAATGAATTCCTTAGCCATTTTCCCTAACCTTCACCATCACAACTAAATGCCTAAATACCCTAAACCTAATTCTAACCCTTAAATCCAAGT